AGGGAGGTAGGTCTTTTCTGGTGTGAATGTCAAATCCCAGTAGGTAGGGTCCAGGAACAGGGCGTCACTATTTAGCTGGGTAGGCGCGTTATACGGTGACACCTGTTTCTGTAGCAGGGTTCGAAGTATCGATACGCAAGCCGATTCGAACCAAATACTTCGTTCGATTTTGGCGTTGCTTTCGATTTTTTGAATCTGCGACTTTATAGTCGCTACTCTTTCGCGTTCGCGGTCGCGTATTAACTTCATCGAAACGCTCGTCCCGCTCGGTTACAGACGTGTGGTTCAACACAGGTTGAACGTCCACGTATTGCACGGAACCGAGCCTATTTCAGATTGGGCAATGCGCCCGAAGAAAGAAAAGGCTAAAAGCTGAAGAGGCCCTGACAAATTGTCGCAAGAGTGGGCAGCATCAAATGGCTCCCCATCTTCGGTTTCGAAGATTGGGAGTCATCCTTGTTAGTACTTTATCACTATACTCACCTATAGTTTTAGTAGTCGTAGTTTTTTTTCAGCTCCTGATCCAGCGTTGGGGGTGCCGCGGTTTCCATTAGTGTTGCGAATGAATACAGATCGCGTTGCTTGTAGTGTGGCGAATTAATACAAATCGGGTTGATGTTTTGTATTGCGAATATTTTTCGCATTTCATTGATCAAAGTAGTGTTGCGAATAAATATATAACGGGTTGAATAGTGTTGCGAAAGAATACAGAACGCGTTGCAATTAGTGTTGCGTATCAATATTTTTCGCGTTGATTTTTCAGAGTAATGTTGCGAATGAATATAAATCGCGTTGCTTTTGATCGAAAAATCATGCGCCCAATTCACGCTGGAGCCTGATTCAACGGATTGCTGCAAGGATTCTTTGTTCGCACGTGTCACGTGCGTGAATTTGGGTGCACGGTAAATTATTTAGTGTTGCGAAAGAATACAGAACGCGTTGCAATTAGTGTTGCGTATAAGTATTTTTCGCGTTGCATTTCAGAGTAGTGTTGCGAATTAATACAAATCGCGGTTGCTTTTAGATTCACGAAAAAGGACGCACCCACAATCTCGCAGATTCATCGATTATTCCTGGAAAATCAGGATCCTTTATAGTCCCACGGTTTAGTGTCGCGAATTATAAATGCCCCCACCCAACTTGCGTCCAAATAGTAAACTTTGGATAACGAGTCGCAAAGCGCAATACGTGAATGTTAACGCAACATTTCCAACTTGATTTTTATCTGTTTATTAACAATATTTTTAAAATCGTCATTCGCGTTTAGTCATATATAACAAATCGCAACACGACGACTAGCAGTATCGATTAAAGTCGCATAAAAATGATGCGCACGGGTTTTTCTTTTTTTTTAAATGCCACGCTACGCGCTCCTCCTGAATGAAACTCCCTTCGAAAAACAAATGGATACCCTAATCTCCAAAAACCGTTATCGGCGTTTAGTGGTTCTGTATGAAATCGCAAAACGTTGAGTATCGGTATCGATTAAAGTCGCATAACAATGATGCGCACGGGTTTTCTTTCTAAATAAATGCCACGCTACGCGGTCCTCCTGAAACTCCATCCGACAAAAAAGTGGATACCCTAGTTTGAAAAAACCGTTATCGGTATTTACTGGTACCTATTTGAAATCGCAGAACGACAGCTAGCGGTATCGGTAAAAGAGCGCTAAAAGATTTTTCTGAATTTCAGCAATTAATGTTGCGATTATTGAAGCGTATCGCGTCATTGCTATCGTTATATTGTTTATTTTCTTTCGCGAAACCTACTTGCCTCGATTGATTGACTCGTGTAGGGAATTATTACGCAACCCTATCGTCTATTTCTATTTCTAAAATTGTCATTTCGTGCTGTTTTGTAGAAGTATTGCCTGCAATATTCTCTCCTATCTGGTGGGGAATGTAAATCATCTATCGCGTTCAATTTTATCTTTCTTATATGAAAATTACCATTCGTTTGTACTTGTTTGTGGGTATTGTTTTTAGGAAAGCATCGTTGGGTTGTTTTTTCTTGTACTTGTTTCCGAGTTCTGTTTTTCGGAAATCATCGTTGGGTTGTTTTCTCTTGTACTCATTTTTGAGTTTTGTTTTTCGGAATCATCCTTGAGTTGTTTTCTCTTCTGTTCGTTTCATCGAACTAAAATCAACACTGCTCCCAAGTACGCTCTAAAGTACGTTCTTATATTCGCCTAATATTTGGTTTTTCTTGTTCTTCTAACACTGATCGGAACATGATCGTGTTGCCCGTGATATCACATCAAAAAGGCAGGGTGGTTGGGATGTGGTAGGGCGGGTCTCCATAAGCAGCAATCTCCACGTGGTGAGACCTGGGCCCTGATATTATTAATTGTGTAATTATTAATCGTATTACCATTAATATAATTCGTAGTTACATAGTAAGTAATATTAGCTAATCGGCTGCTACAGGGTAATCCGCTCGGTAGTAAATACAATTGACAACCACAACAATAGCCGACCGTCATAAAGTCTACAATGACGGTCGGTTATTATTGTGGATGTCCATTCTTTCTACTAACGAGCAGATCACCCTGTTATACGCGTATAATTCATCATAAACATAGCATGAGTTTAGGGTGTCTTCTGTGCTACATGTATATGCTTATCATACCTGATTTCAATAAACGGATTTATAAAGAGAGATAAAATATCAGCAGGACAAAAATCTATGCAAACGTAACTTTTCATTAAGGGGTTACTCGCAGTCAGGAAAATGAAAACATACACTTTCTTGTGTTTTTTTTTAAGGTATTAAATAATAATTTTTATGAATGAAATTTAAATATATGACAAAATACATCTTAAAGAACTATGAACAAATTTTTGTTTTAAAAAAAGGTTAATTCATTTTGTGAGCAAGAATCCTTCAAACTGGTATACCTGCAAATAAAAATAAAGGTAGATTTGGAGAATATATTAGACTAACGGGTCCCTGATCGAAGGATTTTGGAAAAAATTAATTTAAAACAAAATGACGTACATTTGAAGTTGAAGTTCAATTTTCATTATAAAATGAAGTGCCTGAATAGAGAATAAAAAGAAAAGTATATAAGAAAAAGAAATCCTTCGATCAGGGACCCGTTAGTCTAATATATTTTCTAAATCTACCTTTAGTTTTGCTTTCAGGTGCACCAGTTTGAAGAAATCTTGCTCACCCCAAACCAAGTGGCCAGCCACGCGATCGCCTGTTATGACGAAATGAATTAACCTATTTTTAAAACAAAAATTCTTTTATAGTTCTTTAAGACATACTTTGTAATATATTTACATTTCATTAATAAAAATTATTATTTAATACCTTACAAAAAACACACAAGAAAGTGTTCGTTTTCATTTTCCTGACTGCGACTAACTCCTTAAGGACCTAAAAAGATAATTCCAAAAGTGAGACGATGATGAAAATAAATTTGTGTATCAATCTCTTCGTATGCTCCGTCGACGTCGGTAAATGTACAAATATTTCGACCTCGTTGAAATGGTAACAGTGCGTAGGGAAAGGATAGACACTGTTATGGCAGAATGGTAACGTCGCATATTTATCGAATTCACGTTAGGAGTAAGCGCCATCTCATACCGATTATCTAAACTAAACTTGTCACGTAACTTGCTCTGCATTATCTACAAAATAACGGAACTCGTCTTTGGGAATGTTTTCACGATTTTTCGTTTTTCATTCTTGTATTAGCATATTTTGGGTTGAATGAGGGCTCGTTCGAAAGAGGAAGGTCCAACGAAAGGTGCTCCGGTCATTATTTGAGTCATAAAATCCATTTAATAACTTAAAAATACTTTCATTTTGCGGGTGTGTTTTGCTCGACTTTTGTTCGACTTTGGACGCTCATATTATTAAATATCAATACACTCTCGTCCAATCATGACCAAAGCACCCTTCATTGGACCTTCCTCTTTCGAATGAGCCCTTATTCAGCCCAAAATATGCTAATATAAATGGTCATCAATTGAACCACACGTTATAAACAATGATATGTTTATACTAAGCTAGCGATAGAAGTAAATCTTTTGTTTTCTATAGACTATACAGTGGGTGTAGAAAGATTAATTTCCAAAAAACTAGGTAAAATTGTAATTTATTACCTTATTTTTGATAAACAATGACATTCTATAGAATGTCATAAATGTATACATATTCTCGGAAATCTCTAAAATAGATAGAGTACAAACAAAATAGTTATTTATCTAAGTTGCGAAATTAACAAAAAAAAAAAAACCAATTAATCCATAGAAATATTGAAGCAATAAGTATTCGCACAACTGTTTAATTTTTAAAACTTGATTAAAAAAAAAGAAATTTACATTAATTTACAAGCATATAATACTTTCTTCGTGGGATTTTCTTTTGATTTTATAATTAGTGCAACTCTTCTAAGCATTAAATTAACTAAATTATTAGTTATTCGAAGTGGGATCTTCTTCCATTCCTCTATTACAGCCTTTTTTTTTTAAGTACTTTAGTAGAAATTTGATGTTTTCTAATTCGTACGGACCAATAAACTCCGTAATAAATAAATGTGTTCACGTTACAAACTCTACTGTAAATGGTTCGTCATAAGAATCGTACAAATACTTATTGCTTCTATACTTTTACCCACTTTTCACAATTTTTTGTTAATTTTACAAATTATATTAACTAGTAAATGTTGTTTGGGCTATATCTATCTTAGAGACTTCCGAGAATATGCAAAGTATCATTGATTATAAAAAAAGAAGTTAAGAAACTATAATTTCACACAAAAGTTTTTTGTACCTATATGGAATTTGAATCTCTTTCGTATGATGGAATTCTCGATTCTGATTGGTAGTCGCCATTCAGTGGCGCCATCATGGCACTTAAACCTGCAACTAAAAAAAAAAAACAGGCGTTTCGTCTCTTCAAGAATACTCTATGGCTCCGACAATGAGTTTCCTTTCTATGAAACTATTTCGTAGTTTATGGCACACGGTACGTCGTATCGTATACGCGATGTGGTCGATGCAATCAGTTGTTTTCGAGCTTACGAACGTACAAGTGTTGTCTTTCTGTTTCTGTCGGTTGTTTTCGTTCGATCGTTGAGGCGAGAATCGAATAACATCGATCGACTAGTGCTTGTAAAGCAGTTTTCGGCGTGATTCGTGCGTGTGAACGTTCAGTGGTTTTCGTTAATTTTCTTGTCGCGAAGTACATGCTTCCGGAGTGACGGAGTATTCTGCTAAATCGAAGAATGTTGGATCGCGATACTGCGATACATCTCGTCGCCGGAGGGTGGGTTCCGTTTTTTCTTTGCTTATCTTCGAAATAAAACCAACCTTTAAAAAACGTGACGACAGTTTCCGTCGTCTGTTCGAAAGAGCGAGAACACACGTGAAACCGGAGATGGGCAGAAATCTTATTTAGATAAAAACGATGAATAAAAGACGAACAACTATGTATTTGTTGCGGGTTACATAAAGATTGGAATTTGAATTATACAATGATATGTTTCACAATGAACTAATGAAACTCCTATCGAATAATGGTCACGAATTAATTGCTACATGTTGATTTTGTCCGTTATTCATTATTCGAATATATTTTGCCCACTTCTTAGTGAAATGCAAGTCGAATTGATGAGTTAACCCCACACGTATTTAGCTCAACGTATTTCGCTTGGTTGGACTAATGTTATCGAAGCTATTTCTTTCCATTTGGAACACGAACAGATTATATAACTTGGTTATAATATCGAACCGAACGAAACTCTGTATACCAGTGTTTATTGGTGTGTTTGGTACTTGTTATATTTTTGTGTAGTGTTGCCTCGTTTTCCAATCAGAAAATTCGAAGATTATAGAACTAGTATTCAGAGACTGTTAAATCTCTAAAATTTCAATAGAAAACTCCAATTCTGTCAAATGCGCGTAAATTCGTGAACAGTAGACCAGCTAGTATGATTTTGTATATTTTCGCAATAAATTTGAAATTGAGGGAAAGTGAATTTGAAGTTGAGGGAAAATTCTAGAAAAGTGGTACTACGATATTGTCTATCGGCTCTTTTTATGTCATCTTCGCCGGTTGCCCTTCGTGCATGGAGAACCGAATTACGAAAGTTTCGTGATGGAAAATTGTAACGATCACAATGTGATTTGTGGCAAGAATGATGTAACTCGAAAATAATATTTTTGCGACAAGGAAGTTTGAACATTTCGAATCATAATTTTCTTAGGATTTCCATACCAATAACTCATAAAAGGTACAGTGACCTGAAAATCAGTGGTTTTTCTGTCCGTTTTTTGGCGACTGTGAATTGAATAGTAGTTTACATCAGACTTTTCCAAGGCCAGCCCGGGAGCTTAGAATTGCGACGAATTTACCATATCACCTAGTGCGTCGACGTTAATAAACTAACTTTATCAAATTAATGCAACAAATAAACGTAATATCGAATTGAAGACTTTTTGAGATTGTTCTTGAAAATTCTGATTAAATTTTAAAATTTAAAGCGGCGAATAGTTCATTGAAAACTCAGGGTTTTCTGAAAATTAGGTTATCTTGTACTGTAATTGTGAGGTAAACTCTATAAAAAGATTAAATTTGATAGTATCACTATCGTTATGATGCATAACAAGATTATGTAAGCCTCTGTATCTCTATTAATTTATGAAAAAGTTGATTTTTTATTTTTCTGATTTTACATATTTTGTTAAGTGTTTCACGTTTCCTTTTGGTTGCTGTTTTCGAAAATCTTTTCGTAATATGTAGTTTATCATAAGGGATCATTCAGATTACAATTCAGTAGTAAACACGAGAAAATTGTTGGCGTCTTTGGATGCGTGTTATTGTTGCAGGAAATAAGTAGTTTGTGAGCATCGGTTGAGCATCGATTTCAAATTCCGATGGAGCGAGATAACCTATGTTGGTAAAATGGGAATCAAGTCTAGCAGTAGTGCAAACGAATTCAGTAGTAAGCACGAGAAAATTGTTGGCGTCTTTGGATGCGTGTTATTGTTGCAGGAAATAAGTAGATTATGAGCATCGATTTCAAATACCGATGCAATGAGATAACCTCTGTAAAATTGGAATCAAGTCTAGCAATAGTGCAAACGAATTCAAATAGCAAATAGTTATTGCATAATTGTCCCGCGTTTACTGCTAATCAAGTGCCTGAAGCAATGATTCGATACTATATACAGGGTGTCCCAAAACTCGGGTAGGAGCCGGAAATGGGGGTAGCTGAGACGATTCTGAACAACAATTTCCTTTGCAAAAATGTCGGATGGGGCTTCGTTAAGGAGATATTAAGCGAAAACCCCGACCAATCAGAGCGCGCGTAGACCGTTGGAGCGGCCGCGGTAGCGAAGGCTACGCGCTAGGTCGATGCATCGATGCACGTCGAGTCACTTGTTCGCGTGCAAGCGCGGCCGCCAGCGCGTAGCCTACGCTACCGCGGCCGCTCTAACGGTCTACGCGCGCTCTGATTGGTCGGGGTTTTCGCTTAATATCTCCTTAACGAAGCCCCATCCGACATTTTTGCAAAGGAAATTGTTGTTCAGAATCGTCTCACCTACCCCCCATTTCCGGCTCCTCCCTGTGTTTTGGGACACCCTGTATATGTATCACGGGTTATGGATATTCGAATATCTGCGTCTCAAAGGAGATTCGCATCGATACGAACAATTCAGTTGCACCTTGAACTACGTAGGGGTTAGGTTAGGGACGTCGACTCCCTGCGTAGTCGAAAATATGCGTGAAATTGTTGACTCTTCAAAAGCTTCGCTACAATAGCCTACCGTTGACGACAAGATACCTTTTCTCTATATTGTACCTGAAAATAGTACAATAATGTTTAACGAGTATGATTGCACCGCAATTACACGGTAATTACTGTGCGAATGCGTTGTGGTTATGTACATCGTATGCGTGTCGTTGCGAACGTATTTTTATTACATTTTGCTTAATTCTGAAACAAAATAAGTATTAGGTTGTTCCAAAAGTTTCTTTCGTAATTTGCACTCAATTATTTTGTGCGGTAGTGTTTATATAAATAGACAATCTAATTTCTTAGATGTTGATGTTGTAACAGTAATGGAGCAGAACGAATCGCACACAATTCAGTAATGTAACATTAGACATAAAATATCGTGTATGTATTACTTATTAATAAAACGAAAGAAACTTTTGGGACAACCTAATACTTAAGTGGGTGATATCGAAATTAAACAAAACACGTATAAGTGAATTGTTTAAGAGTCAACTATATTCGATATTAGACGATCATAATAGATCTTGAAGCTGTGATTGGTTATCAAAACGTTCAATAAGTTTTGAACATTTTGTATGTAAATGTATTGATAGATTCATTATAATTTGTTTTAAAAAATGTATTTAACATGTTCAAATAGCTATTTAAATTTTAATGAATTGTTACATCTTTAAAGATAAATCAATTTCGTTGATTTTCAAAATATTTACTGGTATTTCAAAAGTCTATAAGTGATATACAAATGTATTATACACAAATAATTAACTTTGTTAATTTAACAAAAAAAAATGCATTAGTACGTTCAAATTTCAAAACGTTACATATAAATCTATACAATATCGATAAACTGGTTGAATACTGACGAATTTAGTTAATTGTTTATAAAAAAGCTGTACATTTCACAACACATGAAAGTTTAAACAGCTATTGGGATGTGTTAAATTCATTTTAATAAACAAATATTGATGAAAATATTTACGTATATTTAAATGCATTTATTTGGTAGGAATAAATATATTTTGTTTAAATATTTCTGGATAAAGTGACCCAAACATTTTCGATCATGTTTAACCCAGGAGACCGTGCAGCTCCATTCAAAACTTTTGTATATTTTGAAGAGAAATAATTTTTTAAATTATTAGTTGTGTTTGTGACTGTATTGTTTTATCAAAAATATGATCTTTTCGTACAGTTCTTTTCACGTGTTTTTTTCCAATTTACTTATCTATTTTTTCCTCATCATGCGACCTCATATGAAATTTAAATCTTCCGTTTATCACTGGATATTAGGATATTACACATCGCTATTGTTACCTTCAACGCATGCGCATTTTTGCAAATTCTAAACGCTTTTTTCTACGCTGTGATGTTATTTTTCGTGTTTTATATATTTGCACTGCTGTAAGATGCATAGTACATTTCTCTTACTGGTAACATTTACTCCTGCAGCAATTTTTCTTGCTGTTTCTTTTTAAATTCGAAGCTATGTGGATAATGGCATGTTTCTCGCGTTCCTGTTTCACATGAGAGATACTCTAATAAATCGCTCGTCATTTTTTTAATTCTGTTTAATAATTTTACGATTTTAGACATAGAGCACTTCTCTGAACGTAATAATAGACTTTGTTTAACTTTATTTTTCTCTGGAATCTTAACTCTTCCCGTTTTCAACATAAATTGGAAGACTGTAATATATCTTAGAAATATTCTGTACATTTATGCTTTCCGTGATATCCCAAGTAGCCACTATTGTGAAATTTAAGACGCATAAACGTTTCAAATGGTCTACCATTTTGTCCCATTGACTCACAGATTCTGTTTACATTTCTTTTCGTAACCTTCGCAAGCCATGTTTCAACTAAAGCGATTCCCAGTTGTTTACGTAAAATGAGGCGCGCAATATACAAAGGGTGCACAAAATGTACACGTTCTTACGTACATATATAACAATATAAACAAAAACATTAGGTGAACTGTCATTTTATCCTACACTGTATACGTACAGGGTGCGACCGAATAACATGTGCTACCGGTCACGAAATGGTTCCTTATGAAAAGTAAACGTTTCATTCAGGATCGTATAACGTGTTTCGTGTTTATAAACAATGATCTGCCAAGGAGAGGCCACGATCTGACGGTCACCGAGTTGAATCAGCTTTTAACACAGTACATGTAGTACTCTACTAGAATTACTTCGACATTTTTGAGAAAAATTAATTTAAAAAATATGACGCCGCTTCGGTTCTTATCTTCGGTTCCTATCTTCGGTTCCCTTACAATTATTCACAAGACGTCAGCGTAGTTGAGGCAGTTTTTTCTAATTTTTTTTTTATTTAACGTGACCACAAATATTTATATCTATAAAAGTAGATCAATTTTACCAAAAATTTTGCAATATTCAGAAAATGTTTTTTACTTACGCACGAGACAATGGTTTAAAAATTTAGTTAAACGCATACAAACAGCTACTTGTCTTTCAGAAAATCAGCGAGAAATTTCATCGCGCGAGGACATTATTAAAATTTATTCAGCAACCCGTGATCTATGTTTATGCATGTAATTGATCGTCTCAGTTTAGAAATTCGTGTATTTTTTAGCACCACGTCGTCGTTGGAAGTCTTTTTTCGCGGTTCGGTATTTTTCTTCGAATCTCAGCTGCCAAGACGTGGGCGGAATTTATATGCAATGCATTTACGAATATTGCTGACGCCATACCGGTCGTATTTTTGCCAAAACTTTTGTGTAAACATTGATAGAATTCTCCCTCAAGAAGTGCATGTTCTTACGATGAGAATATATTTTTCTCTTATGTAAATGAATTAGGTTCTCGTCGATTTATCGCAATCTTTTGCGCGTTTAGAAACCTACTACGCAGTTCATGACAATGACTTAGTTCGAGCAATAATATTGCCACCTACTAGGAGTGTGTGGAATAGTAAATACTTGCAGGGATCTGAGAGTAATGTCGATAGAGAAGTATTAGGTGTAACGTAGTTGCACAGTGGGACAGAATCATAATAAACTGGCGAAAATTAGAAAGAGTTTTCAGATTTCCATAAAACTGGATGTATGATGGTTTTTGTCCCCTCAGATTATAAAATTCGATAGCAGAATTTTTAAATTCAAAGTGTTGGCCCCAATATGGCCACTTCCTGTGCTACAAAATTAGATTTTCATGCAAATTTGTTCATACAGATTTTTCAACTCTCAGATTACGAATTTGATTCCAGAATTTCCAAATTCAAAGTTTTGGATCCAATATGACTGCCTTCTATGCTAAACAGTTATTAGATTTGCATGGAAAAGCGCAATACTTTACCTCGATAATGTATAAGCATAGTTGTAAAGTTTATATTATACAAATAAATGTAGTACAGAAAATATAAGTAAAAAGGAAATGTTATTAACCACGCCAGTAAAAGATAAGTTAAAAATAACAACAATATCAGTTCGTAGTTCGGTTTTTTTTAAAATTGATAGAAGTCCTCAGTTTTTGTAATCTCATAGTACAATTTAAAAAAAAAAAAACGGATTCCAACATAATTGTTAATCCTGAACAATTACAACACCTATTTGCGTTTGAACTTTAGTAAGTCGAAGTTCAAGGAGAACAAATGTGTCGAGTTAAAAAAAAGTGTCGATTTCTAAAGATCCAGTAAACAGAATCTCGACTTTCGAAAGTATCTAAAACAAATGAATGCATTTACAACTGTAAATTCATTAAGAGTAAAAATTCGATACTTTTGTTCATTTGTTGTCTTAAAATAGTTATTAGCCTTGGATTTTGTAAAATAATTCTGATTCTTTGAGGAAGATAAATAAGACTTGCAGATTTTGCAAAGCAATGCAATGTAAAAGAAACAGAAGCAGAGTACAGTCGTTTTAAAAATGAGCGTAATGCGTTTCAAATGGAAAGGTCAGTTTATGTAAATTCAACTTGTAGAGGTCTAGCGTGTGTTGCTCAGCATGGAGTTAACTTCCGTTAATTTGGGTTAACTATGTTTTTGTAATCACCGAGTTTTCGTGGAGTCGAATGAATACAGTTTCGACGTATGCGGGTCCCACTGTAGTAATAAATTGCTCGTAAAGTATATTTTAATTAAGGAAATAAAAATTTCGTCTTAAAGGAACATCAGTTTAAACATAAATATGTATCAAACATTTCGAGTCTGTATTTTTTGGGTCCTTTCGATAAACAGTAAGGAAGAGCAAATATTAATTTGAACATTTATTTTTTCTTTCCTTTTCTTTTTCTTTTTTCATTTTTTTAAATTGCCATTTGTTCTTAATTATGTCTCATCAAGAGGACTTAAATAAATACACAATCGAAGCATCTCAAAATAAATATTTCTGTATTTAGACAGATACTTATTTTAGTCTAAATTTCTTCCTTTATGAAATTATACCAACAGTTTGAAAATCCATGGAAAATAAAAATGTATCAGGTCAGCCCCCAAACACTCCACTAAAATTCACCTTGTGAGACACAAGAAAAATGAAACTAAATTAGGTAAACGAATTTATCGCTGATGATGCTTCTTATTGTTTACAGAGTGGCTGGCACAGCGGGTGCAATAGTCACATGTCCCTTGGAAGTGGTCAAAACACGTCTACAGTCTTCCTCGTCTGGTTTTTACCCGCCGCCAATCAACAAGGAGCTGACTTCCGGTCATGTTACGTGCAAAAGCCTTCTGAAATCAGAACAGAGGAGAAGATTATGCACCGGGGGCTATACTAGGTAATTTTGCTTAATTTGGTATAGAGAGATAACATAGTGCATTGATCCAAGCAATTATGAAATCATTTTTCTGGATAATCAAGAAAAGCATTAGTAGATCTAAAAATAAAATTATGAAGATCACTTGCTTTTAGAATAGTTGCTCGAGAATCCTCCCTTTTATATATATTCAAATTAAATCTACAATGTCAAATTTTCTTCTTTAAAAGTCCCTTTATATGTAAAAAAAAAAGTTTCAATAACAAAAGTAAATTACATCTGGACTTTGTATGCATTGGAAAAAAATATTGACTGGGCCAGACTCCTCCCTTAATTTGTTGGATGCGTTTAATCATTCAGAATGTATTTATACTACTACTATTGACATTATATTACGTTAACATAATTATAATATCATAAAAAATGCATACACCGCTGTGAATGATGCAAAATTAGTTCAATGTCCGATGATATAGAAATGAGTAATGATAGTAGTGTTGTTATAAATAATTGAGTAGAGGTTGTGTATATTTTGTATTACGTATTCTATGTTAAACTACGTTAGAGTGACGATACTTTTTGTTTTCGTTGATTTTTAAGTAATACTTTCTGTACCTTTTAATCATCATTTTTTATCTCCAATTTTAATTAATTTTCTAATTAATTTTCATTCTATTTCTTAACATGTTTCTTCTTAAACTCTCTAATTATGATTTTTTCAAATATGACTAAACTGTATGTTTGACTCGATATCATCACGAATAATTCAGTAGAGATCGTTTATGTCATATCGACAATGTTTTCGGTTTATTTCTAATTACTTATCTACTTTTTTTTTAACATGTTACTTTTGAAACTCTGTAGTTATCATTTGTAACTAAATTTCTATAATTTTTCTTTCAAATACTGTATCAGTTTGACTTAGCATCACCCGTTCATATTCAACTTCCTGAATTGGCATTAAAACACAGTTAAAACAGACTGTCTAAAGACTCGAAATTTAATTTTCGGCAGAGAATCGCTTGCTTTCACCTATTGTTTCTCGAGCACTCCCACGCGCAAAGAATAGTAATGTAAAGGGCTCTGTAAACAAAGTCTGCACCTGTCTTTACAAAGCGTTCCACGGTAATTTGGTCGTACTGCACATATACGGATGTGTCTGACATACTTGGCTGTTCTTACTCGACTAATTCTCGCATTCGCTGCATTCTTTGGCCCGAAATAAACCTTCAGCGATGGTGTATCGTGCAGCCGGCTGACGATTCTAAAAATCGATCCCAAAGGTTGTCGGGAAAGCTGTAAACTTTTCCTTAACGAAGACTCACAAATTTCTGCTACGATTTCTGTGTTGAACTAATCCTTCTTTCTTTAAAGTTCTTTGAATAGTTTCATTAAACCCTATCGCTCGATTAAAGTATTATATGTATATACTTGGATACTCAAAAGGAAGGCTTGATTTTATAAATTTGTATGATTGAAATATAACACTTTGAGTGTCAGGTATATTCATGAAAATATTTATGAAATTCAGATTTTGTTCTTATAGTTACTTATACTATATATTATTGGAAACTATACTCTAACATTTGCGGTAGTATTTATTTTTATAATCCGATCAAAATTCACGAATCCTATCCAGACTTAATTTTTTTAACACCTGATCTTCAAAATTAATTTTACAATTCCTTAGTGAAAATCCCTATCACCCATACATGAGCGACGTGGCAATCAACGTCTTGACTTGTTTCAAATCCTTAAAAATGGCCACTATTAAAAAGTACAGTTCATAAACACGATAAAGCAAAAGATTATGAGAAAATACTGAAAAATAATTAGTCTATAGCCTCGGCTTTAGAAGGTGAAAGTAAAGAAAAACAAACCAATTTGTCACATATATTAATATAGTTAGTACCTGTGCAACGATCGCAAAAACTACAATTTTTGCGTTAATCTTTTCGCTCCTTATTTTGTTACTTAAAAAAGAATTAGATGTAAATTTTAATTTTACCGATCGTCGCGTACTAACTACACTAATATATTTCCAAAATTTATTCGATTTCTTGTTTGCAGATGCGTTCTTTGGGTAGCATCGTGAACCCCGAGCGCTACACCTCGTTGACGCCGATGGCTGTAGCTTAAGTATTTTTCAATGTTTGATCGATAGTAATTCTTTAACTTGTTCATGAACCATACGTTTCACTAGTGTAAAAACATTTTTTTTTTTTTTTAAATTAATAAATGAACAAAACATTCTAAAATACAGCCTCTTTTATTGTTTAAAAAAGGGGTACAGTAGAATTTCATTTATTCAAAGTAATGACGTCACGGTTCTTGATCATTCGAACACATTGGCGAGCTTTGATTACCCGAACTCAACTGAAATAGTAAAAAGAGAGCCAACAAATGTAGATGAACCATATGAGGTGTTACGAACGACAAAACATTCCTAGTGAAATCATTAAAAAATGATATGAAAGTTGTTGGAGAAGAGTCGATAAAAACGTAGATAAAAGAAGCATTAAATATTAAACTCTCTTTTGAATTTATATTTATATTATTTTCATCTAATTTCGACGACTATACTGTTCAATAATATCACTAAAATAAAGTATATAAGCTAAATCAAAATTAGTACTCTTTGCACAGTAAATTTGCACGGTACTGTAAATCAGTGACCTGTAAGTGCTGCACTCTTCCTGTTAGTATCAACCATGGGTAATGATACGGCCCATAAATAGAAATTGTGTAGGATAGACGAGTAGGATTAACGTTCCTCTCGTGCAGCAACTAATCGATTCGTTCCATTTGTTGCAGACATGACCTGGTCGCCCTATCGCACTTCGGTGTCCCGACTCCTCCTGGCTGCTCTCCACGGTCCCACTCGACCCCAGGTATCTATCAATGCATACGATACATCGTCGAAAACGAAGGGACTCGTGCCCTGTTCAAAGGGCTCGGCCCAAACCTCGTAGGCGTTGCGCCTTCAAGAGCAATTTACTTTTGCGCCTACTCGAAGAGCAAGATCGCCTTCAACTCAGTTTTACCCCCGGACACGCCGATCGTTCACGTATGCTCTGCATTCTGCGCTGGTAAGTCGCTCCTATCCGTCAACAGTTTCTATCCGTTTTTCCACCTCCAGGGAATTGTATTCATTTTAATTAATATTACATTATACTAATATTATATTCATTTCTAAAGCTTAGAAATTGATAAAATTGAAATTCAGCGTATAAACCAAAAACGCTATCGTGTAGAGCAAAAAATTCTGCTTTGTATGGTTTATAACAGTTTCATCGAATGGTTTATTTGATCTCTACCATTTAAATTTGAAGAAATGTACAACGACTTTAACGGGTTTAATAGATTGAGTGAATGCTATAATTAGACTGTCCAAGTTTATCCATTTATGATAACTGAAAATTATAATAACGGGAAAATTCGTGAGGATGTGCACAAATTTAAAAATATATCAACAATAAAATATATGTATATTACATACTCTTGAGCAGTTATATTTAGAGCATGCGAGTATTCATATAAATTAACTAGAAATTATTTCATACTTTTTAGTGCAGTTTTAATGCCTTTCGAAGTCGGTTATTGCTCTTCGATTAATCTCAAGCAGGCTTTTGATAGAAAGCTCAGTGGGGTCAAGTCGCGCGTCATTCGCCTTATCTCTTGAATGAATTAGTCGTCATTAAGCCGCAAATAACTGGTTCCCGATTGTGACGCATCTTCGGACTGATAATGTAATCGAGTGCTTTCTGATTCCTCGCGATGAAGAAGTGGCCAAGCTAGGACATTAAATTGTAGGTCTTCAGGATCTTAACTGAAAGTAACTGAAAACTCGTGTAGTATAGATATTTGTGAAAAATAGATAATCCTTCTAATCAAGGATTAGAAATATCATTTAACCTTCTGTCGCAGTGGATTTTGAATGTTTTGCGAGTCCTAGCAAGAGGTCGCAATATTTGCCAACGAAATATACATATAGGCGATCTTTTGTTATGTTCATTTGAATTACTTTATAACTACGTTGCTTCTGTACGTTTTAATTGGCCGAATTATTCGTTGAGGAAAGAAAATTATTTAAAAAAAACCTCTGACCAAATTAAGTGACATAAATTATTTTTGGGTCTTGGACAAATTATGAAAAAGGGTATTGATAAATATTTGTAACAAGATATTTAGAAAGATTATGAAACAGGATACTGATGAATATTGATCACAGGATATGAATTTAAATGCATAAACTGGATTCATCCTGGCGTATGAAATTAGTAACTGTTATAAACAGGTTGCTGAGTAATCATACACTTATTTAAACGCCAAAATGGCGTACAATGATAGAAGAAAGAATGCAAGCTGTGCAAGTTGAAAATATTGCTATATCGATACATGACTTCAGTGTCCTTGGGGTTATAGAGAATTAAATACAGGATGGATCGATAACTTTGATCATCTCGAATATCTCCATTATTCCTAGAATTATAAAGATACTTTGTATGCAAAGTTTATATGGCTACGAAGAAATTCATAATATTGCAGTAATCTTTCACGATCACCTTCATTTATTTAAACGGCATACTACATTTTTTTTTAAATAGTGCACTTACACTCCTAATTACTTGTTTGGATAACATTTCATTAAATCGAATATCTGGGTCGGTATCAATAGATTTGTATGACACTCGCCGTTGGAATGCAAAGGGTTAAAGGTTCGCGTCGATATTCCGCTCTCTAAATTTAATTTTCAATAACTTTTATCGTACGTATTCTTGGTGCGAAAACATGAGAAGTGGAAGATACCGTAAATTTTATCGTCGCTGCTCTCCTCCCCGCGACACTCCGTTCCAGAAAAAATTCAGTGATATCGTCCAGACCAGATTTTAAGTCGGTTTATCTTACAGATACGGTCCATGTTTTAACCTAATAACATCAGACGTGTCTTTACGGTGAAACAGCACAGAAACGAAATCACGTTATTTTAAGAAATACAGTAAAGTCTCCATAAATGCACAAACTCGGGACTGAACTGGTGCATTTCTGATAGAGTTCGTACATTCTCTGACGTTTGCCGACAAGCTTCGAACGTAAAGAAGGACATCGAATAAAAAAAGAGGACAACAACGCCAATGTAACGCAACGGTGAAACTTTTTTGTTGTAAAACTTTTACCATCATATTCCTGACATTGTTCCGGTTAAAATGAAACCAAACACGATATAATTCAGACTCAGAACAGAATTCATATTTACAATTCATCTTTTTTTAGTTAGTGTTCTATGATGTATGATACATAATTATACTATATCGTCTTGTCCTTTAGATCAATAGGTAGTAACGCCAGTTGCCGGTCCGCCACAGATTTTAAATTCCCTAAGAATTTGTCAGAAAAATGTCAGAAATATGACGGTGAAGGTTTTACAACAAGAAAGTTAATAATAAAAAAGTTTGACCGTTGCATTAAATTGTCTCACCGTCATACCCCGGTGTTTTCGCTCCGTCCTCTTCTTTATTCGATGTCCTTCTCTACGTTCGAAGCTCGTCGAGTTAGTAACGTTAGTAACGACCCTCAACATTGGGAGCATGCGACCCCCATAAATTTCCATCCATGTTAACTTTTAGCCGAATAAAGATAGTGCAATTGACGTCTGTGTTTAGTCATCGTGTTTATTCAATATTGACGCATCCTGAATCGAGGAATTAATTCTTAATCGAATAACGCTAATGATAAATCTGTATACAGGGCGGTTCACGCAACTTATTCACCTCGATTAACTTTTAAGGTATGCATTCCCGTCTCCACCTACAAAAGGGACCTCATACACTACACAATGTGCCTCTTCGAATCATACAACTTTTGTATAAAAGTTTTGTCATAGAATAACATAACTTAGAAGTTAATCGAGGTGAGCAAGTTACGTGAACCACCGTGTACACTCATAAATCTGTAGACTAGCAATGAATTATTCGAAAATTGAGTAACTTAATTAATTCGATTACAATAAATTTATAAACAATTTACGCGTTACAAATTTTGCCAGAATTACGAAATAAAAATGAGTGTGTGACATCTATGCACGGTAAAAGTGAAACTTCTTTAACAATTATGAGAGACAGATGGGCACTGAATAATAAAACTTAGCATTCTATAAATGTTTTGTTATTACAACTTAAACTCACAAAATTTACAACTCAAATCTACAAAAATCCAGTTTGACTCCTTTGACTGTTGATACAGTTTTATTGCGAGTGCATACGAAGGCCACACGTTAATTTGTTTGAATGCAAATTACGTAACGATGGAGCAATTGGAGAGGACGCCTATATTTGTTCCGCACAGTTCATAATTCATCGTGTTCTCGTTAATGGGATGATATCTTATCCGGAGAAAGCTGAACTTCAACCCCACTTGTCGTAAAGAGAACTCTTCGCAGGGGTGCCACGATAGCAAGTCATTTCGTACGCGATACTAATGTTGAAGATAGTCGCGGAACATGACTGCAATTCCATTGTAATTCGGATGAAAATTTGTTTTTCTGAATATTGCAATGAAAAGTGTCTGATTGAGCTAGCGCTTCTTCGATACCCTTGGGGTAATCCTTGTTTCATTGAATCCTTTATTGTACACTATACACGGTCTGTCTAAAAAGAAACCAAACTTTTGCTATAAAAAGAAAAAAGTACAAGTAAAGTTTTTACACACACGTTTATTTACTCAAAATAATCTTCCTCTGCGTCAATACAGCGCATAGACCGCGTAATTAACATTTCGAAGAACCTTTGCAGCTCCTGTTTTCCCTCATTGTCACAGTCTCTTTCATTGGAATTGGCATTGTTACCTTGGATCATTCACCCTACTCGCCTGATCTGTTTCTCTGCGATTATTTTCTTTTCCCAAAATTGAAAATTCTAATGAAATGTCACATTATAGCAACAGTTCGGAGATTCAGGCCGCTGTAACAGCCGTACTAAACGGGCTACCAAAATAGGAGCTGCAAAGGTCCTTCGAAATGTTAATTACGCGGTCTACACGCTGTATTGACGCAGAGGGAGATTATTTTGAGTAAATAAACGTGTGTGTAAAAACTTTACTTGTACTTTTTTCATTTTATAGCAAAAGTTCGGTTTCTTTTTAGACAGACTGTGTAGAACTTGATAGATTGTGGTGCATATTCAACTTTAGTATTGGTGAAGTGCTGTTTGTAGCAGTTATCACAGAGAAATATTAGGTGTAGAAATTAATTCTGTGCTCTTATATTCAATTACTTGTAACTCTAGTTCAAACAGATATACTTACTCGCCATTTTGATATAGTAAAGTACCAACCTTCTAAGTCGCCACCCTGATCTCTATTATGACGTATCAATAAATTTTTACACACAACCTAGGTCTCAACTTGATGGACATAATGTATGTACAGCGTAATATTTTGCTTATCGTTTTTCTTCTTCAATTATTATAACTACTTGTTATATTTGTAATCTGAAGAAGAATAATATATAGGATATTTATACTCTCTATTTCCAATATTCTATATAACATGTAGAATTTGATATAGTCTTTGCTATACCTGTGGGATTTATAGTTAAAAGCATGTATGCGGTGATGAAAAATACTTTATTTAACTGATAGTCAAAGTCCTACTGGCTTCAATCAGCGATCGACCCACATATCTTTACGAGAGATTCAAACTGAATCATTCAATCCTACACCTTCCAATTTGTTTTAATTATGGAGAACAAACTTTGAACTCTGATTAGAAGCGATTACACGATCACTTAAAAATATTTGTTGGTGTGTCTGGTACAACAAAAATTTATTCTTACTTATTAATTCATGTATTTTTTAACTGTCATATATAGTTACTAAAACTTGTTATCTTTATGAAAACAGAATAAATATATACATATATTATTAGCTTCTTAAAAATAATAATCAAATTTATAGTCTTTGATCGATCATGCATGGAACGAGTGACGGAGTACTGAGCGATAAGGAATTCTATACTCCTCGTTAATGAGACTGGAACCTTGTTTGCATGCGATTATATTCTATAGGTTATAATACGTAAATTGTATCAGTTTTGATATCCATCTCATGTATAATAAATAAGTAAATAACATCTTGATCGATAGAGTTAAAATTTGTTTATTATTCGGTTTAAAAAAAAAAAAGTCGAGTTCTACAATAGAAAGTTGAGTAATAGAAAGGTGCATGAAAATGTCACGCGCTCTAATTTGATTACAGTAACCGATTATTGGTTCCTTTTTTAGGCAACATGCGCTTGGAGGGCTATCCCCTTCCACTGTCCCAAAAACGTGCGCATGGTCACGTAGACACTCACCAGTTAATTTTTCATTTGCCATCTTTCGTTGGCAGCAGCAATACGTTTGTAAGCAAGTGTCCAAGTTTTCCAAGTTTTACCTTCCCTTTAACATTTTAATTTTAATTGGATATATATAATATATATATATATATATATATATATATATAAAATATAATATATAATAATAATATATATATTATTATATTATTTGTAATATATATGGTATACAATAGTATGCAAATACACAATATGTATAATATAAATAATATAATAATGGTAATATACTATATGTACATAATTGCTTTATTTTAATAAAGGAAATATATATTTTATTACCATTTTACATTTGTAATTGAAATTACAGAAAATTTGTTCAAAAATTAAGTTATCTAAATCAAATTTCGTGTACATGCTCTTTAAAAGGAATCGAACAAGGGTATGGAGTTTGTGATACGATTATTCTTTTTTAAAATTATATACAACATTTTCCTTCTTTCAAATTCAATTTTACACCCTTTAATTCACTGTCACAAACCATACAAGTATACATATTTTCATAATTTTATCTAGAAAATTACTGGTAGTTAATTTTTACACGAGTGACTCCCCTTTAATAAGAAACACGGTGAATACTATTTCGTTAATTATTATGTTCATTTATTCTTACCTTAAAGCCCTTTTGAATATAAACACAGAAGTCTCCTCTTCTGACTCGACTTTCTTTTTGCAAGCATTACCCCGTTATCCAATAGCAAAACACGAGCCGCGTAACGAATGAAACAGATGACTGGCTTATCGGTATTATTTCTTGCTTATCTGTCGGGATGCAATTGCATCCAATTGCTCGACGGCCTTGGAACATGCTTGTCGAGCAGTTACGGCTCGTTTGTACTTACTTACGGTCCGGACGCATCGTGTGAGAATCGCCTTTCCGATTCGAGTATCATAATCGTTCGCGACATCTTCCTGGATTCTGTCTGATTGTCGACAGACTCGGGTCAACCAACGAACGTAGTGCCTCGTGATGTTGCGCATGATATCGGGTGATCTAATCGATTGCACACAGCATGGAAATTAGTTAAACGAGAAAGACGAAGAATAGCGAACAGCTTAATATACGTTCGTTGTTTTATCGCCTCGTTGCAGATTCCTGTGCACAATTTTCTATTTAATTAGCACATTAATGGAAGATTTTTATTTATACGCGTAAAGTTTAACAACTCGTGACTTATGTTAGTTTTTTCGATCAGGGTTCCTCATGAGCATCCTTTCTTAGAATAACTTTTACGATTTAAAATAATTTTGTAGCTTTTTGTATCGATTACGGTATAAATTTTGTATTTTTACATATTTATTTTAATTATAATGTAGGCCAGGAAAACTGAGATAGGAAGTATTGAATATACAATAGTACAGATTATAATCTTTATCAAGTAAATATTCAACTACAGTATTTATCTAGTATCTTTGTATTTTATGCTTTTTTTCACTATTAGAAAACAAATTGTTTTTAAAATATCTTTTAACACGATTGTCTCTAAATAGCTACATGAATTCAAATAAAACTTTATATTTAAGTTTTATATTATTATCACGAGACCCAATTCGATCTGGAACAAAATAGGTTCTATATAGAACAGATAGATGAAATTTTTCCCTATTTGTTTGTCTAATAAAGAAACAATTAAAATCTCAATTAATACATCCTTCTGTTATTTAATCCAACATTTATTTAGTTAAAAAATCTAAATAAAAATGATCTTTTATCATTTAATATATTTACAATGTACTTCGGGAAACAGATCTTCTATTGACTAAATTATTTTCGAGAAAAAAATTGTTGAATATATCTATGATTTGTACGCATCTAATATGGCTTTTCTCTCTTTAAAATGACACGTTGCAATAGATAAAACGCCTTACGTATACGTCACAGAAAAAGGGAGAAACAAGTAGAGAAGTAAAATTGAAAAATCCATGTGTATTATAAGTAGACTGCGGATCTTTACGCAAAATAAAATGTTCGCGAACGTGCTTTCAAAAATTGAACCTAAATAGGAATTTATTTTATTCTTCAAGTGTTATAACATGAACTTTACTCTCAATCTTTTTTACATTCTTGCATGTTATTTGCATTTTGTAGTTTTTTGCACATTTAAATGTCCTGTAAATGTATAAAGATCCGCAGTGGTAATTATAAGGAATGTCATAGAATTAAATACCGATGTAATGACAATGTGTTCATTGTAAGGAACTCTGCAGAAACTTTGGAAATGGTCGTGGTAGGTTTGTCGTTACCAGGTTTCGCGAGGGTGGTGCTCGTTAAGATTTGAGAAGCACTGCGGTGGGCGCTATGCTATTCTATTTTTAACCTAACGACCGCGTAATTGAACGCCTCGTCTTGTGGTTATTTACAAGTAGCCGGTCGAACGACTCGGAACTACTCCGTTTTTCTCAATGGTAGATTGTTTAGTAAACAGTGTTTACGAACTTTGGGGATGGTAGACGATAGTAGAATCTCTTGATATCGATGCGCATTCGATTTCTGAATCCGTGCAATCCTACATACGCAATGATGTTCCGTGGAAACGCGTAACTTTATGCAATATCGCCGAGAGGAAGGGATAGAGAGAGAGAAGGAGATATGTATAAAGGGAAAGACGCTTGCCACATCGATTTTATTCGAAATATAAATACAATTCGAAATAAAAATACAAATAAGCAGCGATGGGCAAACCCCTAGGCTTCGAATAAATCTGAAGTTTGCCGATATATTTGTCTCGTTTCCTCTTTTGAATATTTTCAAGGAAGGAAGCGAGACAAACACGTCGGAAACGTTTTTTGATTATGTAATTTTCTTTGGTATTATTTTTCGAAATGGTAAATTATTAACGTTTCTAAGTCGATATACTGTTTTTGTGCATAGTGAAGTACTAAAACATTGCGATAGTAGTTTATGTACTTTTTTACGGCTAGTAAAGAAATCATTATCTTTAGTTATCTTTAAAACAAATAGGTGTGTAAATGTTTTGTCAATCCACTGTATGTATCTAATCGCAATCTGTGTACTACTGCGCGTATTTTACTAGGTTGTTTTGAAAATGCTTTTTCTTCAGCTAGTAGCTTCAAGTTTGTGATGGCTGAAACCATTGATTGGTCCGATTCAGACTTCAAACACAGATCAAGGGCTTCGTATTACAATAAATGAAACTGTCTAAACAAATGCTACCTTATCATAGGTAAAAATATATAAGGTTCTATTTAAACAGACTAATTTGCTTACTAAATCTCCTTTACCACTTTACTTACAACAAAATTATTTACTCCATATAATTTGTCCCTTTGAACCAGATAACTTTTGTTGAAACATTTCTTTGATAGCCTCATCCTATCGTGAGATATGTAACCATTCCGATTGAAACGAAACACTTTGTATACCGTCGATCGTCAATGATTGACGTGACTTGAACTCAATAGTTTGTATCGTGGCATAAGAGTCCATTGTGTTCACGCCAGCTGCAATTTATACGCAAAATATTCATCCAACATGTGGGAAAACTAGCGCGAAAATCATTCTGTTTATTGTTAGTTTATCGTCAGTAATTGACGTGACCCAAACGGAATAGCGTATAGCGTTAATAAGTAATAACTAGAGAGTTATGTTATTTTTAAGTCATTTTTAGTATTATTTAGATGGAAAATCTGAAGGTCTTTTGCAATTTTTTCCTACATATCTTACTACACGTTTTAAGTATGTAAAAATAATACGTCTATTGTCAAAATTGCAAATATTGAAGCCGTATGGGAAGTCTTATTAAATAATATAAAAGAAAATAGTTTGATAGTATCTGTGATTGCCACAGTTTTTCACGTTCCAAACGAAATAACGTTAACAGAATAACGAGCGAAGGCTGAATTTTCTTGGGTATTACTCGGGATAGTGTCCTTGAAAATATACGTAAGGTCTAGGTTATCGGAACCGTAACCCCCTGAAGTCCCATTCCTTTCGATTGCATCGAGAGTGTCAAGCGTCGATTGTCGTGTTTGTTTACGTCTAGCTCGATCCGCGGCGTTTCCCGCGCTCACCCTTGCCACACAGTCTCTTGATCGATTCACGTTCCAATTGATCGGTAAACACGTGCTTGAGAATAAAACGAATGCCTCAAGAGAAAAGTTTAGTGCTTGTTCACCCCCACCCTCCGTCCCTCTTTATGTAAGGTAATAATGTTATTTCCTACGAATTCGAGTAACTCGTTTAGCATTCATATTTCCTGTATCGAAAGTAAATATAGACCGACTGCTTATTTCTAGATAAATGAATCATAAAAAACAACGTTTGTTTACATCAGAGTGTTTACGATGATACTGTAATTGATGACTCCGTATTAGAATCATAAGTCTTCCAGTTCTATTACGTGTTACAAGAAAATTAATTACTTTTCTAAACCTCACAGGATATCAGAACATATATTTTGTATTAATATACTACTTTAACACATAAAAATGAAAAAAAAAATAAAATAAAGATGCTAATTCTTGTTTTATCCACTCTACGTGTATATTACGTTACATATTTCTCTTATCTTATGTAATTTGTTTGTTTAAATATTGTTAAGGTGTATGAACATAGTTCGTATGAAATGGTGCAATCTATGAAGATAAACAAGGAAATTGAAGATTGCAGCTTTAGAGATAGAAACCTCAATCCATATCTGTGACTATTTCACTCATTAATGTTGTTGTTGTTGTTGTTGTTGTTACGTATTAGAACAGTATAAAATAACATAGAATAATATAAAATTTTTATTTGTGGCATAAATATGTTCCTGAATGTCTAAAGATTCATATAAGCCCTCAGGGGCTGTAGCATGCGAGTATGTAACTACAGTACGGGTTTAGCGATCCCGAAGTACCCCACCTGTAGATGGGGGCCAGTGGGCCCCAACAGACGTGTACAAAACACGAGACTAACGTAAATGTAACGTACAGAGTTACGATAATGCGAACTGAGCCAAAATTAAGGAGTTATGTAAGGCAAAGTAATGTCAAGAAAAATAGAAATAATTGTATTGTGTGTATGGATTCAGTGCAATAACTGAAGTGACAGTTACGCACTTAAAAAAATCAAGCAAGCAAGCACCACAGTGGTGCCACCGGACGGCATAGTCTTAATATTAACCCTTCGCACTCGTGTGGCGCCTTTAGGGCGACATATGTAATATAAAAGTGATTGTTTGAGCGTACAATTTCAATTTTACTTATATCAGAGTACAGCTAATTATAAATTGAAACAATAATTCATTGAGTCACGAATGTTCGTAGATGTTTCTTTTCGAAGTAGTTTTTGGTTTTACAGAAATTTATTATAAAAATGTACTGGATTTGATTCTATAGAACAATGCCTCGACCGCAAAGGGTTAAGGTAGCAGCGCCACGATTTTTTTTTTTTTTTTTAAATGGCACGAGTTACAAAATTACTGTTTGAGGTACAAATTAGTACGAAATAAGTATTAAATATTCCACTAACTCCGATATGATTCTGGTGATTTTATCCTGCCAGTTTAAGAGATCTATTTTTACTTTACTGACCGAAACGTTTTTCCGAACTTTATCGCGAAATGTTTCTGTATATTCAAGGTCGACGAAATCCTACGATGAAAATTGCATTCATTGCAGAATTTAAACGAATCATTAGGCTATATAAAGCTCGACGCGAGCTACCAATAGGAATTCGTTTCGCCGTTACGTTCACAATTGGACCCTTCCTTCCCGCGGTCGTTTGTGACGCCGCAACGCGCCGTTAGCGAGTGCAACGTGATCCCTCGTAAACACGCGTCCATCTATTTTTATAGCGACATTAAGAATCAAAACACGAGATTACCACACCAGACACGGAGAAAGCGTACGCTAGAATGCACGGTTCCGTAACTTATTATGAATTAATATCTTATCGTCCACTTGCGAACCATGTTCTTCGATCTTTCTATCGGCCATCATCGGGAATTTCTTCAAATGCAAAAGAAGTTGATATTCGCAGTACGAGCGTTCTCGCGTTGTCTTTATTTTTTTTTTTTTTTTTTTTATCGCGTGTTTACCGTTCCAAGATATGCGGTGCGAATAGCATCTGCATATTGTATGTACAGGGTGTTTCGCTTCGAGCGGATTGGTTACATATCTCGCGAGTGGATGGATCTATCAAAAAATGCTTTTACGAAGGTTATTTGGTACAAGGTTCTTGTTCCCGAGCATATTGTATCGAGGAAATAATTTTGCTGTAAGAGAAGTTGTGGCATGAATATTGTTAAATTAAATGTTTTAATCAAGATACATTTTCCAATACATTGAGCATGTTACGACTTCTTTTCTATGATATTAATTTATAATAGTAACGGACGATTTGTACACTAGGTA